ACGATCCCAAGTCCTTAATTCGAAGCCGGACAATCCCAAACTAATCAAACGAAGTAAGAACTAGTAAATAAAGGCTTACAAGGTTGAATTCTAGCTATTTAAACAATTTCCTAACCATTTACACAAGTTTCCTAAATTTCGACCCCAGGCCTACGTGCCCGGACTCCGAGATTTTTCGAAGGAAGTTGTTCCCTATCACCTAAGGATCACAAATATATGATTTCTAGTTCACTACATGGCAAATTATGTGATAAAACCTTAGTTTTCATTAAACCCACCCTAGGTCTAGCTCAAATCCCTTGATTTTACCTAATTTTTAGTGTTAAATCTACCTAATGTTTATGTATTTGAACTAAAAATGAGTGGGGATTACTTACCTTGCAATGTTATGTTGAAACCTCCTCTTTGGAATCACCAAAATCGCCTAAGTGTTGAGAGTAATGTGGAAGAAATGAGTTTGGGTTCGTATTAATGAACCCTTCTGCCCCCAGTTATTTTCGCATCTGCGGAAGTATTTTCGCTTCTGCGAGATCCGCTTCTGCGGCTTTTGGGATTTGGGGCTCGACCGCTTCTGCGGTCTGGGGGCCGCATGGGCGGAACCGCTTCTGCGGTCCCTGGGCCGCTTTTGCGGTTTCCCCTGGCCTGCCCCTTCTCCGCTTCTGCGAACTATTGACCGCATCTGCGGTCCAAGAACCGCAGATGCGGTTATGACAGAAGCAGCAAGCTTCAGTCATTTTCCAAATTCTAACTTCACTCGAGCCCCGCTCGTTTGACGCTCGAGGCTCCCGTGCCCCGCCCGAACATACCGACAAGTCTGAAATCACGAGGCGGACCTACTCGAACCCTCGAAACACTCAAAACAACGCTAAATCGGGGAATCAGCCCGTAAACCAAATGAATCAAATCATTGAACTTCAAGTTCTTAATTCTCCTCCAACGGGTCAAAATTCCCTTAAACTACTCGGATTGACACCAAATTTTACGGGTAAGTCTTAACTGATATTTCGGACTTGTACCAAGTTTCGGAATCGAGATCCGAACACGATACCTAGGAAAACAATGATTTCTTAGTTTATTTAAACCTTTGAAACTTTAACTTAACAATTTCACATAAAAATTCATTACTCGGGCTAGGGACCTCGGAATTCGATTCTAGGCATACGCCCAGGTCCCATATTTTCCCACGGACCCTCAGAAATTGCCAAATCACGATTCTGGGTCCGTTTTCCCAAAATGTTGACCGAAGTCAAACTTGGCCTTTTTAAAGAAACTTAAAGAAGCAACTAGACTTATTCTTGCTCAAAACTCTTCTAACTTCCGAACCACCCATCCCCGCAAGTCATAAATTAGCATAAGCAAGTGCGGGAAGTCTTATTTAAGGGAACGGGGTTCAAAAAATGCAAAACGACCGGTCGGGTCGTTACATTCTCCACCTCTTAAACAAACTTTCGTCCTCAAACAGACATAGAAACGTATCTGGACTGCTGAATAAGTGGGGATATCTGCTCCGCATGTCCTCCTCGGACTCCCAGGTCGCCTCCTCGACCGGTTGGCCCCCCCACTGGACTCTTACCGCAGAAATCCTCTTGGACCTCAACTGGCGATCCTGTCTATCAACAATGGCAACTGGCTCCTCCTCGTAGCCCAAGCTCTCATCTAACTGAATGGTACTGAAATCCAACACGTGAGAATGGTCGGCATGATACTTCTGAAGCATCGATACATGGAAGACTGGATGGACTCCCGATAAACTGGGAGGTAAAGCAAGCTCATAAGCAACCTCTCCAACTCGCCTCAATACCTCAAAGGGGCCAATAAACCTTGGGCTTAGCTTGCCCTTCTTCCCANAAAAGGCAGGGGAAAGGTGCGATGGTCACAGGGGAAAGGTAGGGGAAACATGCGGTGATTTTCTACTTGGGGCCTGGGGGTTCGATTTTTTGGGAAGATCACGGGGAAAGGAGGTGTGGGGCGTAAGGAAGAAGAATAGGTTGGGGGGTTTGGGGGGTTTGGGGGGGGGGCGATGGTCTAGTTGAAAATAAGGAAAAAGGTATTATTTTCTTATTAATTACACGTGTCAAATATTATAATTATAAATTACACTTGTCATTCTTTAATTGGTTTATTAACACATTACTGGCAAGTGTAACTCACGCATATGGTCTGCTTCACTCGGATGTTTACTTGATACACTTAATAGTCATTTGAAGTGTCTAAATGATAAATGGGTCAATTGAGGTGTCCATCTGATCGTTGAGGACAACTTAAGGGGTTGTTTATGTATTTCGCCTTATTGAATTCATCTTTATAATGTTTTCACTCTCCTAAGAAAATCTTATGGAAACGTGCGCCAATACTTTCTTTTATTTTCCATTAGTTACCATGTTTTAGTTTTTACTAGAAGGAAATGAGCCACGTACTATTTTAGAAAACAAATTAAATTAAACTATGTTTTCTTTGTTTCAATCTTAACTAGCAATAATGTACCCTCTTATGAATTAATTCAGCTTGACATTAAATGATTATATCAATGACTACGATAACTCAGGGGCGGATTTACCATGGTTGAAGCGGTGTCATCCGACACCGCTTCGCCAAAATTTTTTATTAAATATATATAATTGATACTATGCAAAATAAACAATTACATACAAATAAAATAAAATGACACCACTTCATAAGAATGGGCTAGTTGGTTCGATGGTCTAGCGCCGAAAATCTATGCAAACGTTTTACACTTTTGAGCAATAGAATAGTAGTCCTTTTTATTCAAAAGCTGTAGCATTCCGATTTTGTATAGGACAAAGAGAAATTAAACTCTCCTTTTTTTCCAAAAACTGTAACAATTTCGATTTTCTAACCAAAAACAGTAACAATTTTGATTTTGTATAGGACAAACTACAAAGAGAAACTAAACTCTCTCGTTCTCCCCTTTTGAGTAGGAAAAGGATAATTATAAACAATATAAAATCCATTGGAGTTTACTTATTTCATACCCTAATTTTAAAAAGCCTATTCAATTACATTGGAACTTGCAGTTTTCATTGGAGTTAAATAGTACTCCCTCCGGTCCATAATAAGTGTCTCTTTTACTTTTTGATTTTGGTCCAAAATAAGTGTCTAGTTAGGTAATCAAGAAAAAATTCAATTTGTTTTTACTCTTTTACCCTTATGTGCAGAAGAGCAATAAATGCCATTATAATCATGNTTCCAAATTCTAACTTCACTCGAGCCTCGCTCGTTTGATGCTCGAGGCTCCCGTGCCCCGCCCGAACATACCGACAAGTCTGAAATCACAAGGCGGACCTACTCGAACCCTCAAAACGCTCAAAACAACGCTAAATCGGGGAATCAATCCCAAAACCAAATGAATCAAATCATTGAACTTCAAGTTCTTAATTCTCTTCCAACGGGTCAAAACGCCCTTAAACTACTCGGATTGACACCAAATTTTACGGGTAAGTCTTAGCTGATATTTCGGACTTGTACCAAGTTTCGGAATCAAGATCCGAACACGATACCTAGGAAAACAATGATTTCTTAGTTTATTTAAACCTTTGAAACTTTAACTTAACAATTTCACATAAAAAATTCATTACTCGGGCTAGGGACCTCGGAATTCGATTCTGGGCACACGCCCAGGTCCCATATTTTCCCACGGACCCTCAGAAATTGTTAAATCACGATTCTGGATCCGTTTTTCCAAAATGTTGACCGAAGTCAAACTTGGCCTTTTTAAAGAAACTTAAAGAAGCAACTAGACTTATTCTTGCTCAAAGCTCTTCTAACTTCCGAACCACCCATCCCCGCAAGTCATAAATTAGCATAAGCAAGTGCGGGAAATCTTATTTAAGGGAACGGGGTTCAAAAATGCAAAACGACCGGTCGGGTCGTTACATCAACGATCAGATGGACACCTCAATTATGCTAATGACCAGAGAGACACCTCTTCTCGGCTAAAGTGTGTCTCATGAACCCCTCACGATGACATGGCAAAGTGTGTGCTTTTTATTCATGTCTGGGCGCGTGAAACCCTCAAAATTATGATTTTCTCTTTTTTCTTTTTAAATTAACCTTATTTTATAATGACCCCACTTACCTTCGTCTTCACACTTCTTTCTTCTTCAAGTTTTCACCATTGATGAAAAACAAGAACAATTAAAAAGTTTCTTTCAAATTACAACAAATGGAAACATAAAATAAGCACACAATTTCGTCCAATATATACTATCACAATTGCTTATACAATCAATCACAAGCATTACCGTAATAATTAATTGGATAAATTTACCACCATAAACTTTATGACTGAACTCTACCACCATAACCTCAGTCATCGCCACCAACAGAGACATCACCTCAGGCGGTAAAGATGTTTGAGGCTCCTACACGATAAAAATTAAGACCAAGATCCAATAATTTTTTTATGGATCTTTACTGCTTGGGTTTTTCAAGAGAAATTTTTTTAAGAAATAAATAAATGAAGGGCGAAAGGTAGCAGTCGACAGCCGAAAAACTTTTGATATAGTTATTCTTCTTTAGATTTGGAGTGGAACGGCTCTGTCCATCATATTTTGGCTAAGATATCAGATTTTGGGGAAGAAAAAGAAGAAGTAAAGGAAGGAACAGAATTGCAGCAACTTCTAGGAAAGCTTGAAAGAAGATGAAGAAGAAAAGGCAGGGGAAAGGTGCGATGGTCACAGGGGAAAGGTAGGGGAAACATGCGGTGATTTTCTACTTGGGGCCTGGGGGTTCGATTTTTTGGGAAGATCACGGGGAAAGGAGGTGTGGGGCGTAAGGAAGAAGAATAGGTTGGGGGGGTTTGGGGGGTTTGGGGGGGGGGGCG